ATAATCACGAATTTTCTCCGTTTTTTCTTTCTTTTTAACCAAAAACGCACAGTATTCTTAATTGAATGATTTCTTTTTCATGACAAATTTTTGTCAATTAAACATTAATTAAGAGATGAGCAAAATGTAACGTAACAACAGTTCATTTCCTTCCTCAGAATCAGTGTTAATTAGTTATTTTATCCGAATCACATGATGAAAATCATAGGCCATAGAATTCACTTCGAATTTCATATATACGTATACAGCCTGTTTATCGAAATATTTGGTATCACTAAATGAAACCCTAGAACCTAATCGACGTTTGATATACTACGTACTAAACATATGATTCATATCTTTTATAAACCACTTGGTCAAATCAAAAGGGGTTTAAATTAATTTCCAGCTTAGGATAAATATTGCTTTGGTTTGTCAAAGATTATAAACTTTAATAACGATAAAATACTAGTTGTAGTAGTTTTATTCACGATCATCTGGAGTAGGAGCCTTGAAACCCCTTAAAAACCTGAAATCAGATCAATGTACTTTTTTCAGTCACTGTTAATATTATTTGTGATAACCCGTTAACTCATATACATTATAGATTTGAAAGATTCGAGTAATCGATTATCATCTTGATGAGTGTTCTTATCAACTAATGTATTACCATGATGATAATCTTTATTACCTTAAAGTTGTCCTGATATATCGTTTTTAGCAACTTACCAGTTGAGCTACTGAGAATAGAAGACTAGAAAATATAATGAGAAAATCATGACCATGAAGTAGTTTTCAGAAGAGACTTTGCTTTTTCATCTAACGGTATTTACTAAAGTATGTTTTATGAAACTGTCTTGAAATATTTGCTATCCTCAAGAGGCGAACTGTATAGGTCATTAGTTTCTTTAGTGTTTACAACTGATTTCAGTGATTTAGAGCCAAAAATGCTTCTGATATTATCTAATTATTCTTCAGCCTTCTTACAGTATGTCCAAAATGAATTTTTAACTGGGTGAATTACCATAATGGACAGGTTTCCCCATATCACTCAGTGTAGTAGATCACTTGAAGAAAATTGAACTAACCGTAACCTGGAAATGAGCTTTCGTAAACTTCTTACTTCCATTTGTCATGAAATTTAGTTCTTTAGATGTATTTCGAATCATGACTGGGACTGAAAACTGCTTTTATCAACATACTTACTAGAAATGTCGAAAATCACAGATAAAATTTTTTATACTCATTATTACTCGGATACATAATAAACTCTAAGTGATCAATTAGATAACAAGCCACCATTTTGAAATGGAACTTCTCATTAGTGTATCTTAACTTCACATGATCAGAATGAGGTTTTTATAGATTTTAGATGTATGAGTTCTGTTTAGGAATTTTGAATGAGTTTAAACTATATATTTTTTATATCAGTCTTTTGAGTATGTAAGAATTATATGCCTATGTACCCACCAGTATCACAAGTTTTATCTGTCGAGCAAAACATTTTATGTAAATTTACCGGTGATTTGAAATTCACCGAAACGACATGTGATTTATTCTTGTCTTCAGATTGAATGAAAGTGTTAAAATACTTAGATAATAATTGGCTATTGATATGATTGAGATCTGTGAAAAATAATCGTTAGCATATTTTATGTGTTTTGAATCAATATCAGTTGAAAATGGAAGATAAAAATGTACTATGATGTTGTTTTGTTGAATATATGATCTTTTTAAACGGTTGAATTCACAAGTCGATTTAAACTAGACCAACATTGAAAACCTGAAAGCACTGGATGGCCGTTTCGTCCCAGTATGTGACTCCTTAGCAGTGCACATACACGATCTCGCACGCGGGACTCAAACACAGAACCTTTAGTCTCATGAGCCAACCCTTAACATCCAGACCAGTGACGCGTGATCCAGCAGTGTTAATTTCTAACTTTAATCGATCCATGATCTTGCACAACCTTTCATTCATTGTCTGGAGTGGATAACTTTGTCCACTTGACACGGACTGGGCTCTCCTGGTTTCGACTTCTCACTAGAACTCTAAGGAATCCAGCTTGAAGCTATTCCCTTGAAACTAATAAGTTAATAACAGTTAAGTTCAAAAGGAGGGTTGGGAACAATCTAGTGCTGAATTACTTTATGATATTTTTGTTTCTATATACCTCTATTTCCAGACACCATATAATATATTATAAGTATACAAAGAACTAAGCTATGAAGCCAAGTATTACCGACTGGTATTTCGGAAAGACAAAAATATTATAATGCAGAATCAAAATCGATCACAAAAATATAGTTAACTAACAATACTACCAAAATATTTGTTTATTTTAAACTTTCTTATTTCGTATTTAATCCATTATCTTACTTCTTTTTAACCAGTACCCTTAATCATTATGAACTTTACTGTCTTCATGGATTTTTTATAATGATGTCGCCTAATAATTTACCAGCACATTCAGTAACAAAGGTGCTTCAGTAATCTCAGTTTATTTAATCAATAAATGAATAGAGATATAAAATTAATTGTGAGACAATAATTTAGGTATCCGAAAAGGAAGTCATATTTCCTTCAGATCAGTCATTTAATTTGCAGTATAACTAGTGGTTTATCAGCAGTTTATCAAGATATAGAATATCAGATTTTGAAATAGGGTAGAAAAAATACTTCCAGTGAGATTTAACAACATTACGTAATTGTCCTTAAGGAGTTGTGGAGATTGTTGAATTTTATTGAAACTATGAGATGATTCAACTTAAACCATCATTGGAAACTTGAAAGCGCTGGACTAGATATTAAGCAGTTACCTACAGGAGACAATGGAAGATAGTTACAAAACGTCGTGGATTGATTGAAGTTAGACATTAGAACCGTTAAATGATGACTTAGTAGTCTGAAGGTTAAGGGTTAGGAAAGCCCTGGGTTCGAGTCACAGTATATATTTTAATTAATTGTTTTAATTTAGTTTAAAATCTTCATATATATATAAATCTCACCAATGAAGTAGATTTACAAAATTAATCATCTTATATTGGTAAATATTTGATAAAAATTTAAGATAAATAAGTCATTATCTACACTAATTTGCAGCATAGTTTCACATTGATTTATGTAAACATTTAATATACGTCACTTACCTCATAAAAAGGCATTGAAATTCTTTCCTTTATATTTCCTTTATATCCTGTTCAACATATGCATTATTCAAAGGATAGATAAATTATAACAATACACGTGACTCTGATAATGGTTAGAGATGTTGGTTATCGTTAAGTGATTATACAAAATTGGAATTTGTTCGGCCTAAATATTGGACACATTTATCTCAAGATTTTTCATTGTTTTTACAACTTGACACCAAAAAGAAAATACAATATTCTGATAAAAGATTTAGTTCTGGATACTTCAAAAAGACAATCGCCAAAGCGTGAATTATTTCTTATCTACATGAGGTTAGAGAATAAACATAATAGAATTATTGATTTGATAATAACTTTACTTACTTAAGCCTGTTACCTCTCACGGAGGAGCATAGACAGACCGCCAGCGCTCTTCACCCAACACTGTACTGGGCAATCGTTCCCAGTTGTTTCCAGTTACTATTCATCCTTTTCATATCTGCTCCCAATTCCCGATGCAGTGTGTTATTCGGCCTTCTTCTTTTCCGCTTCCCTTCAGGACTTGCCTCGTGATGCAGTTTGTTGATTTCCGAAATGTATGACCTATCCACTTCCAACATCTTTTCGTGATTTCCTCCTCAAATGGAAGTGGCTTTGTCCTCTCCCACAGTAGGCTATTGCTGATGGTATCCGGTCAACGGATATTGAGTATCTTACGTAGACAGTGTTTTATAAATACTTGTACGTGTATGATGATGGTTGTGGTAGTTCTCCATGTTTCAACTTCATACAGTAGAGCTGTCTTGATGTTCATATTGAAGATTATGACTTTGATATTAGTTGACAGACATTTGTTTTAAGTTCCACACGTTCTCCGATTGTAAGAATGTTAATTTTGCTTTGCCAATCTTCGCCTTTACATCTGCATCTGATCCTCCTTGTTCATCGATGATGCACTCCAGATACGTCAATATTTCCAAATCTTCCAGAATTTCTCCATCAAGCGTGATTGAGTTGGTGTTTTCCGTGTTGTATTTGAGTATGTTGATGTTCACTGATGCAGAGGCTTCTGCTACACTGTTTGTCTTGATCTTCATTTATTCGTGTGCACGGGATAGAAAGGGCCAGGTTATCTGCGAAGTCTAAATCTTCTAACTGATTCCGAACTGTCCATTGTATTCCATGCTTTCCCTCAGATGTGAAGGTCTTAATAAACCAGTCAACCAGTATATCATAAATTAACTTTTTTGATAGCCTTAAATCATACATTTTACTGACATATACGGCTGTCAGATATCTCTTTTAATAAAAAAGAAAACGTCTTTCATTCTATAGTAGCTAGTAGTTCTATTCACACAGGCAGTAGGAACAACAATAAAAAGGAAAACATACCATCTGAATTTTCAATTATTTCTATTTTGCACTGTAATTCGTTCTACTTTGTTTTTTTTTTGTATCTTTTTAATACTACTACTACTACTACACTATTGGACATTGATGGGGTTTATTTGAAATTTTAGTTTCCTTACGGTTTAAATAGAGTAAGTAAAAAATATTTTTTATACATTTATATACTTTAACAGCGCAATAATTAAACACTAACTTAAGTAATTTACCAGTACATATTCGATAGTCAATGATTGTTTCTAACTACAAAACAATTACAAATTCTAAGTGCATACGTTGTTTACATTGGAAATTTCCAAAGTTCTTTTGTTTTGAAAAAAAACAAACATTATGACTAAATCTTTTATTTTATTCGGTTTATTGCATATATTTGATAAGTCATTAGTGAACTAACTTCCGTTTAACAAATTCATACGCAACTCATGTTATATTTGAGTGTCAGAAAACTACTTTCTGGTATAAGAACTATATTGAATAATTCA